AAACACAACCAGAATATGAAATGGCTGACGGGGTCCATTGTGGGCTGGTGTACAAAGTGTCACCCATCATGTCTTCTCCTTTTCGATAAGACCCAAGGCCACCTCCCTACCCCCTCACCGTCCCTAAAACTGTGCCATCAACCTCCTAGCCGGAATGTCCCCTCCCTACCCTTCAAAGAGTGAGAAGGACCATGAGCAGCATGTCCAGAGGGCCCTGGAGCAGCTGCTGGAGAATCAGCTGTTTGTCAAGGCTGAAAAATATGAGTTCCACCAAAGCTCCGTTTCCTTCCCGGGCTTCATCGTGTCACCTGGGAAGATCCAGATGGATGGCGCCAAGGCTGACTGGTCGCCCTAACCGAAAGCAATAGCAGAGATTTATGGGTTTTGAAAACTTTTACAGAATTTTTTTTTAGAAACAGCAGTACTGTGGCCGCCCCTCTCCATGCCCTAACCTGCTCGGGCACCAAGTTCCTGTGGAACCCTCAAGCGGGGGAGGCATTCCTGGCCCTCGAGGCGCTTTACCTCTGCCCCCATCCTCACCTTGCCCGATCCAACCAACTCCAGTCCATTGGCGAGGTCGACGCCTCCGATGTGGGGGTAGGAGGCGTTCTTTCGTAGCGCTCCTCCAAGGATAACAAGGTCCACCCATGTGCTTTCTTCTCCAAGAGGCTGTCCCTAGCAGAGAGGAACTACGACGTGGGCAACTGGGAGTTGTTGGCCCTCAACCTGGCGTTAGAGGAATGGAGACACTGGTTGGAGTCAAATGTAAAATAATTTCAAGCATGGACCGAACATAAGAACTTCTAACTGAGCTAAGCACATCCGAACAGCAAAGAGGCTGAATTCCAGACAGGCCAGGTGGGAATTGTTATTTAACTGCTTTACTTTTACCCCTTTTCCACCAAGGCAGAACTGGTGCTAGTTCGGAGCCAGAGCCTAGTTTCAAATCGGTTCTTTGGTTTTCCACCACCAAAGCACCAGCTCCGAACCAGTAAAAGTGGTTCTTAAGTAGCACCATATGCTGGTCTAGACGTAAGAACCGCTTACGTCAGCGGCTGGGGGCGGGGTTACCGTGACCAACAAGACGAGAGAAACTTTGTGCCATTTTTCGATAGCAGCTAATTGAGCTAACAACAACACAATGGACGCTACTAGGCAAAAAGGCGAGCCGCGCGAACATGTTTGATCCGCCGTGTTTGGATGTTGATGTAGGTCCGCAAAGCCATGAACATCAATAGCAAAGCAACGTCCGCCATTGTTGATGATGTGTTTGTGTTTGGCACCGCCGCGCTAACGTTGCTGGGAAAGATGAGACATAACTTTGACGTAGGACTTGGCTCTGCGCTGGCTTTTTAGCCTGTGGAAAAGCAAACCGGTTCTTTGGAAACATGAAACTGGGTGCATTGTCCCGCCAGTTTGAACGTGAAGACTGCACTTACATTCTTCCTCCTTCCTGCGTGGTGGGAGTAGTGACCTGGGGCATTGAGCGGTCAAACCTGCCACCAACGGGGCACAGCCTCTTAACGACTGCCTTTTTGTTTCCACTAACCTCCGCTCAACAGTCCTGCAGTGGGGACATTCCTCCAGACTCAGCTGCCACCCAGGGGTACGACTGACCATCAGCTTCCTCAGGCAGCGGTTCTGGAGGCCATCACTGGAAAAGGATACAGGGAAGTTTGTGGCCACTTGCCAGATCTGCACCCTTGTGGAGCCGACAATTGAACTGGGTGGATTAAGCGAGAGGTCAGACGGTGCCGTTAACCTCAAATCTCCGACATCCAGGGAGCAAATTGTTACGAAGGCTGAATCTTGACAAACCGACCGCAGAAATGTTGCTTAAACAACAAACATCTTCTCGTCTGAAAAATTCATAAAATTACATTCCGTGACTTAAATATGGTAGTATTTATAAACTTGGACCTACACAAGGACCAGCAAGTTCAGACTTAAAAGCATATTAAAGAAGGGCGTAAGATTGGCACTTTTCGCTGTTCAAAACCTGTCCGCCGTCCAGTGTAACTGAGATGCCTTCCGTATGCTAGTGAGATTTCATGTTTACACACTTACGCGCACTAGTGAGATGCTCTTACGCACACTAGTGAGATGCTCTTACAGAAAACAGCTTGTGTTACTATTATTGTATCCTCCATGTTTTTCTGATTCAGAAACGCAAAACTTACAAATGCACCAGGGCGGGAAGTGAAGTAGGGACACGAGAGGGAAACTATAAAATAAAACAGGAACTGAACCCACACTGTGACAACTACTTCTTGTAATACTATTAATACTACCATCACTTTTAGTAGTAGTAATACCACAACTGACATTACTACTAAATTGACTACTAGTATTTCTACTGCATTAATATTATAATATTACTACTACTAACACTACTAGCAATGAATACTAAAATTACTCCTAGTACTATATGTCAGTATTTTCAGCATTTAAAAAAAACTTAATTTCAGCATTTCTTATTTCTCTTTTCAACAATTTTCGAAAATTAATTCAAACTTTTGTCATATATGCAATTTCTTAAAATGGATTTCAGCTTTTTTAATTTGTATTTTCAGCAATTCTTTGAAATTCATTTTAGTTTTTAGCATTCCAACGCATTTTGCGTTTGCGTTTGGAAATGCGTTTTCTAGTTCTTCAACATGTACTAAAAATATGTAACAACCAGCAAACGGAAGTGTAGCCAGGCTGGAGCTACTACCGTCGGGTTCGCTGAAGGACGCACGGACACACGGGTCTACTTTACAATACTTTACTTACTATACTTTAGTATTTTATTTTGCAGTGAGCAGGTTTGTGGCTTCGTTGCTCCGTTGCTCGGCCTTGCCCCTGAGCGTCTGCTCCAGTCTCTCGCTCAAAGTCCTGCTCACTGTTTATATCAAGGAGACAATCAGTCAGCCATCCTTCTTGCCGACCAGAACGATGGGGCTGCACCAGGCACTGTTGGACTCCTCTATTACCCCAACCTCCAGCATAGCAGCCAATTCTCTCATGAACAATTTTCCTCTTGTGTTCAGGTAATCTGTAGGGCCGCGACCGCACCGTCACGCCCGGGGACATCTTAATGTGATGACACTGCGGGCAGGACGCACACCATCAGCGCACATCCGCCCAGATGCCTGGCCAGTAAAATCGGGTCAAATCCGGTCCATAGTTTTATTACTACCCCTGTGGCCAGCCATCAGGTTATAGTGAGCCGCCTGGAAAATTATTTCCCGACAGCTTTTCGATACCAACAATTGGGCATTTTCTTGACCTGTTTGAGTGTCACGATTCACTCTGTATAGCCTGTCCCTAATGAATGAAAAGTGCGGTTATGATAATGCTCTGTCAGGGCGCACCATTTGATCATCAATTCGTATCACTTAGTCGAAGGCAAAGCGTAGAGTATCATCACGAGAGCTCCTCCATGGAGCGTAATTCGGGAACCCGCAGAGTCTCCATAGGGGGCTCCGCCGGTTCCCCCTTCCTGTCTGCAGTGTCGGACAACCTTGCGTCAGCACTGAGCACCGCACACATCCCGAATGTCCCTGTCGGTCGTGAACGCACACCCGTGCACTGCCCCGCTAATTTATTAAACCCTGACTAATCTCCCCAAGATTAGGGGGTGCGTAAGGCGGGAGCTAACCGTGACCTTCACTTTATGCATTTTACCTCCAAATCTAATCTCTATTTGCACCACTGGGTAGTCGTGAATATCCCCATGCACACACCTTATACTCATCCGTGATGCCTCCACCAATGCCCCGGGTCGAACCAGCCTCTGGTGAATCATAGAGTGCCCGTATCCACCATCGCCTGATGTGTACCCCCCTGGATCCTTACCGGAACGCAGTACGTCGCTCCTGGACCGGGGGAGGGTGTTGGAGGCCCGGCAACCCGCAACGTCTGGCCCACCTCCATCAGCGGGCACTCCCGCCGGGAGTGTCCGGGTTGCCCGCACCTCCAACACTCCTGCTCTGACGGTTGAGGAGCCCTCTCTAAGACGGGGAGAGTGCTGGTTAGGCCTGAGGGGTCGGTAACCCGTGGACGGGCTAGTGATTGTGGTGTCGGCAGGGCCTGAGCCATGACCGGCTGCTGGGACCTCCTTCGTGGTGTAGGGACTGGCTGTGCTGACGCGGTCGGTCGACCGCCCTCTCCCTGCCTGCCAGGATGAACCGCCAGCATCACCACACCCGTGTAAGCCGGGTAACTCGGCTGGCGGAGAATCAATTGACCGGGCCGCCAACATCTCCAACACCTGGGACTATCGATCCGCCTGAACCTGCAGTGCCACCAGGAAGTGCCGCTTGGACTCTTGCATTGAACTGCTTGATCGCGCTGCATTGCCGCGATCTCCCCAGCATTAGTCCGAGCGTGACAGCCGGCTGCGTCATTCCCTCTCCGTGTTCGTTCGGGGTCGTCGTGGCGCAGGGGTTAGAGAAGGTGTGCTGGGAAGCACAAGGTTGTTGGTTCGATTCCAGGCTGCCCCATGTTCCACGTCGAAGTGTCCCTGAGCAAGACACCTAACCCCTAATTGCACCCCGGGCAAAAATGTGAAAAAGCCATGGGTTTAAAAGTGTAATGTAAGTCGCTTTGGATAAAAGCGTCTGCTAAATGACCTGTAATGTAATGTAATGTAATGTTTAGGTCCATCCTTGGTCAGGTGCCACTGACCAAGGAAGTAGCTCCAGCCGGGCTGGAGCCACTACCGTCGGGTTCGCTGAAGGACGCACGGACACGCGGGTCTACTTTACGATACTTTATTTTGCAGTGAGCAGGTTGTTCCGGCACCGTTCCCTGAACCACTCCCCCACTCTCCCCTCTTACATACAACAATTCATATTTTCACAGTATGTCATTACTTTATGCTTTACATGCGATCTGTTTTATATATTTTTCTACTGCGCTAATTGAAATCTGCAAATGTATTTTCTTCAATGCAACAAGTTTAATGAAATCCTCTTCTTTCTAACTGCCTTTTAATCTTCTCATGATCTCCACAGACCATCCATGTGGCCATCGTATGTGCAGGTTACAACGCCAGTCGAGACGTGGTTACACTGGTTAAATCTGTCCTTTTCCACAGGTATAGCTATGTTCTCTTATATGTCTCTTCCTTCTTACACCATCAAGCTCCACCAATAACATTTAAGTGCTGGTCAACATGGCACAGGAGCACCACGTTGTCTCGTTTTGATGTGAGGAACGTAAGGAGTATGGAAGTAAATCTGTGTCATCGGATTTTGAAAGAAAAAGGTGATTGAATTTCTAGCACTGAATATTTATGCATTGAAATCATGTATCTGAATGTTTTTCAAAGTTAAAATATTCAACTGCAAAAAATTAAACCGCAAATAATTCAACCGCAAAAAATTCAATGCAAAAATTCAATGCAAAAATATTCGAACCGCAACATCCGGGAACCCAAGGAAGAGCAATCGATTCTAGATTCAAGATCGGGAGCGTGCGCCCCAATACAACTTCGGCTTATCGACTATGATGACCGGATTTCAGCCATGTCCATTAATAATGGGGCTTCGTTGAGTGTTTTAACTTTAACTTCATGCCATCAGTGTGGTTTGTGTCTGTACGATTCAGTAATAGACTGCTGATGCTGGGATGCTTCGACGAGCTATTAGGAGTGATTGGCGGAGTTTTGAAACCAGGAACGCGCCTGTAGAGCGCATAGGAGCCGCTGCAGCGTAGTGGGGGGGGCAGCGGCTTTAGCGGGGCGTGTCTCATCTCATCACCCCAGCGGGTGGGTGCAAGTTTGTCCGTTATCTCGCAGGATCATTGCATGCTCACCAGTTGGGGTTAAATAAAGTCAAACTAGTATCACAATTTGTACTCAACTCTCTTTCCTTTTAAGAACTTTATTAAATTTCAGTGACAGATCACAATTTTTGCTTCACAACTGTAAGGTTGTACGGGACAATAAACTTTTGTCACAATATAATGTGCATATTTTTAATATTTTCCAGTTTTTGGTGGGTTTTTTATGATACTATATAATATATAACATTGTACTGAGAGCTTAAAAAAACAACCCCAACCGAACGTCATTTCGTTTAACTTCCACCATAACCTCCACGTACTGTCGGGGTTATGCTTCTGCCCCCGTTCCGCTAAAGCCCCCCCCCCCCAGCACCGCTGCAGCGGCTCCTATGCGCTCTACAAGCGCGTTCCTGGTTTCAAAACTCCACAAATCACTCCTAATAGCTCGTCGAAGCATCCCAGCATCAGCTGTCTATTACTGAATCTTACAGACACAAACCACACTGATGGCATGAAGTTAAAGTTAAAACACTCAACGAAGCCCCATTATTAATGGACATGGCTGAAATCCGGTCATCATAGTCGACAAGCCGAAGTTGTATTGGGGAGCTCGCTCCTTTTGCTTGACGCACGCTCCCGATCTTGATCTAGAATCGATTGCTCTTCCTTGGGTTCCCGGATGTTGCGGTTCGAATTTTTTTGCATTGAATTTTTTTGCATTGAACTATTTGCGGTTGAATTTTTTGCAGTTGAATATTTTAACGTTAAAAAAAATTCAGATACATGATTTCAATGCATAAATATTCAGTGCTAGAAATTCAATCACCTTTTTCTTTCAAAATCCGATGACACAGATTTACTTCCAGTCCATCCTAGCGTTAGCTCGCTAAAAACAGCAGTAAAGCAGTTAGAAAGACTAACGCGTTTTTATTTACTCGCCTCTTTTGGACCATTCATTTTTCAATCTGTTGTCTTGTATTTCGTGCTTTGTGCATATACTGTGGGTTACATGGTAGTTGACGTTATGCCTGTAAAGGGAGACATGGTGATCTATTAAACCAGCACGGCTAAGAAGCCTCTAATGCATTCATTTACAAATGCCATTTTAAATTAATCTCATAGCACTTTATTTTTTATTTTATTTATTTTTTGTTGTATGTAGATGTGGTGTATACATTTACTTAACTAGCACTACAATGATAATAATTTAATTTAATGAATAACCTTCAAATGAACATGGGTGTGTGTTTCGGAGTGTGTCTGAGTGTGAACGAGTGTGCGTCTGTGAGTGTAGTGTAGAGAACAAGTTCTGACAATCCTATTAAATTTTCTGATTTGTATTTTCTTTATTTTTTATAGATTATTATTATGTTCAATGAGCAACCTCTTTAGACTATCTAAAGTATTTTTGCAATGTGAATTTGCAGTTCTATTTTAGCCTAAAGGGTTTGGAAATGAAAGCTTTTTAATGCTGTTTTTTATCCGATTTATCGATTAATCAAAGAAATAATCAACCGATTAATTGATTATCAATATAATCGTTAGTTGGCAGTTCATAAACCTACACAATCGCTCCTTAAACAATACAGTAAACATCAACACAAAAATACATACTAATTTCTGCCCAGACATAGGCTTACTATGCGTTGATGGGTTTGCTATGTTTCCTCGAGTCATGTTGAAGTCTGCATCCGCTCTGTCCTTTGTTGGGTAGACAAAGGGTAGACA